TTTTGTATTTTTAGTAGAGACGGGGTTTCACCATGTTGACCAGGATGGTCTCGATCTCTTGACCTCGTGATCCACCCGCCTCGGCCTCCGAAAGTGCTGGGATTACAGGCTTGAGCCACCGCGCCCGGCCCGAAATAATTTTTTAAATTAAAAAAAAACTACCAAATTCATTCAGGAAGAAAAAGTTTATGTTAAAGCAATGATTTATTTCATATATATGTATATATAATTTTTAAATTGAATTTGTAGTTTAAGCCTTCCAAAAAGAATTCTCTAGGCCCCAATGGTTTCACTAATGAAGTTTACCATGGATGGAATAAATAACAATTTTACATAATCTCTTCCAGACAAAGAAGAGGAAGGACACTTCTCAATTCATTTTATGAGATTAACATTTCCCAGTAAAACCAAAGACATTACAATTAAGAAAATGTCAAACCAATATCCTTCAAGAACACAGACACAAAAATCTTATAAAATATTAGCAAATTGAATCCAACAATATATTTAAAAGATATTAATAATACAGCATGACCAAGTGGAGTTTATCCCCAGAATGCAAGGCCCACTCAACATCTGAAAAGCAATCAATGTAAGTCACAACATCAACAGTCTAAAAAATAATGAGCACATGAATATATTATTGGATGAAGAAAAATCTTTAGAATAAATTCAGTAATCACTTCATGATTTAAAAAAATAAATTCTAGCAAACAAGAATTAGTAGTGAACTTCCTTAAACTAATAAAACACATCTATGAAAACCCTACCTCTAACTTCATACTTAAGGATGAAAAACTAATGCTTTCCCCCTAAGACTGAGAATAAGAAAACGTTGTCCTCTCTTAACATTTCTGTTCAAAAGTGAACTGAAAAGTACTAGCCAGTGTAATAAGGCAACAAAAAGAAGTAAAGGATACAAATATTGGAAGGGAAAAAGTAAAAATATATTTATTCATACATAGATAACATGTTTATCTCTGTAGAACATTTCAATGAATCTACAAAAAGCTTTTAAACTAGTGAGTTAGGAAGGTGGCAGCATATGTACAAGGCAAAATATAAAAGTTAATTATATTCCCATATACCAGCAATGAATAATTGAAATCTGAATTTTTTTTAAAGATAACACTTATAGTAGCACCAAAAATATGGAAAGTATTTAGGTATAAACAATAAAATATGTGCACAATTGATCTGCTAAATACAAAAGATTGATGAAAAAGTCAAAGAAGATCTAAATAAATGTGGAGATACAGTATTCATGGATAAGGAAGATTCAATATTGTTAAAATGTATCTCCTAATCTACAGAGTCAATGTAATTCCAATTGAAAGTCCAAAGGATTTTGTAGGTTTTTTTGTAGATTTAGACAATTAAATTCTTATATGGAGGCCAGGCACAGTGGCTCACGCCTGTAATCCTAGCACTTTGGGAGGCCGAGGTGGGTGGATCACCTGAGGTCAGGAGTTCAAGACCAATCTGGCCATCATAGTGAAACCCCATCTTGAAAAAAAAAAAAAAGTCTTAGGCTGGGCGCGGTGGCTCAAGCCTGTAATCCCAGCACTTTGGGAGGCCGAGGCGGGTGGATCACGAGGTCAAGAGATCGAGACCATCCTG